TTATGTTGAATCAAATTTTTTAACGTTTGTTATAGGTTTCAAAGTGTCATTGACATTGGTTATTTTGCTACACCAACTTTACATTGAATTCTTGTACAAAAATAGATCTTTCATCTTAAATTCAAGTTCAAAATATTACAATCATGTAGACAAGTATTACGGCAGTAACTTATGTATTTCAATTACAATCTATCAAACTAATTTTCTTTGTTAAAAAATGCGTTCATGCCGAAAACTAATCAATTCAGAATATATTCGACTCGTGTATGGATTTTCACAATCTGAAAATCCATATCATGATTCCAGAAAATTATTATAGAAATAATACAAAATTATAAAATTATTAGCACCAATAGCTGAAAATGTAAATAAGCCACAATTCTCGCTAGTGTAATTTTTTAATTTTGTACGTTTCAAAAAATCAATAAAAAGCATTCAAAGTCTAAAAAAAATACATTTTTAGCACAAAATCGTTTAATGTGCAAATATAGAACTTGACGTTTCATATTAGTTTAAAACTCAGTAAATCCTAAAAAGCACGCAATCCTTTCATCGTAAGGGGTCAAAATCCAATAATATAATATCTTTGACTGCAATTGAGTAGTCCACTTGCAAAGTGCGCTGTGTAAATTTTTTTCGATTTATAGTTTTCGCTGGGTAACGTACCAGTATTTAAAGTATTTCATGTCCACTAACAACACAGTGCGAAATCTTTCTATATTTTAAAGCAGTAGCATCAAATGCAAACTGCTCTTGCAAAAGTCGCTATAATACTTTTTTATACACTCTTAACAGTCTCCATCCTCGTATGAACTCAGAAAACTGCAAGAAAACGTGGTAATTTCGGTGCCTAGTGGAAGAGGTAGTAAAAAAGAAGAAGACAAATCTTCATGGAGGAGAGAACGCGAAAACCTAAAAAAGCTAGCTATGTAAAAGTTAATAAAAAAAAAATATACAGTTTGGATGTTGCTTGTTGTCGTAGACGTTTTTTTTAATTTATGGCTTACTTTTATAAAATCACATAACGCTGTTTGCAAGTGGACTACTCAATTGTTTTATATATAATTTTTTAATAGGTGCTCCCCAATAGCCGCTGAGTCCACAATACCCTGCGTTCTCCTAATTGCAAAGGAAAAAAATGTTGTCACCATTTGGCTACCTCAATAAACAAGCAAATTTGTATGGATATTTCCCTCCAAAAACCTCATAGAAACTTTGCCTGAAATCTGTGGTAAATCTCTCTGTTAGGTCATGCAGGGATAGTTTGGCTGACGTCCGGAATTGCACAAAAACTTATGGCAGCCCTATGCATAGATAGCATAAAAAGCATGATTGGATAATTTTATTGTTGTTTCCTGTGTTCAAACAACAACAAAATTATTGTTGTTTCATGTGTTCAAACAACAACAAAATTAGCCAATAATGCACCGAATCGAGAATACCCCTAATGCTTTCAAATAGCGCTCCCTCCTCGGCTGACAATGGCAAACCTCCGAGTGTACTTCTGTCACATAAAAAGTTCTCGGATGTGCAGATATCTCCATTTGTGTCGCAACATCAAGAAGCAGGACACGACTAGGAGGAAAAGCTCGGTCATACACGTAGAAAACGCATAAGCGCCAAATATTCATTTATTGGAATCAAATGTGATATACTATTTATCCCCAAATAACCAAATTTTAAAACTAGTTAGGGGTTTCCCTTAAACTGCAGAAAGCCTTGAAAACTTCGAAAAACTCAAAACTTTTATTGAGATATAAATTTTGTATGAAATGAAAAAACAGGTTTGTTCGACAATAAAATTCGGTTTATTCGATATTCGAAAAATCAAGATTGAAAAAATCGAGTCAATAACCCTAGTACTAACATAAAACTATTTAAGTATTTGGGCAAATCTAAAAAAAGGTACACTTTCAAAAAAAAAATGTATTTTTAAATTTGTGGGCACACCTATGTTTTATATATCATTTTATTCGTAATCTCTTATTAAATCGATTAATATAAGTGTAATTCATTTTCATAAAGTGCTTCAAAAGTTAGACGAGGAATGAACTTGAAATAGAAAACAAAAGAATAAGCTGGGTTCAAATTACGCTGTTCAAGTTGTAAAGTTTGAGCAAAGAATTCTAAAGTTGAGCTCACTTAATTGGTACGTTCTAAATTCAATGGCATGCCCCGTTTTACCAGATTGGCTCCGGTTTTCGAGATAACGGTACTTTAAAATTTGATTAAATTTTATTTCTTTTATAAATAACTCCTTCAGTTTTGAAGTTATTTTACTAAAATTTTGCACATAACAGTTTTTTAATATTACCTTATTTATTCCTTAAAATTATCGAAATATGTTCACATTAACATATAGCTCCAATACAACTGATTACTCAGATATGTGTTTTTGCGCTATAACTCTATTTTCATATCTGAATAATATGCGTGCTATATGTCAAATTGAACCTATACTAAATTTTAACCTGTTTAATTGGAGGAGTTATAACGCAAAACAACATCTCTGATCAATCAGTTGTATGAGAGCTAGATGTTTTAGCGAACCGATTTTGATGATTTTATGAAATAGTTAAAGTAATATTAAAAAACGGTTATGTGCAAAATTTTAGTAAAATATCTTCAAAACTCAGGGACTTTTTACGAAATAAGTAAAATTTAAGCAGAGTTTAAGTACCGCTATCTCGAAAAGTGGAGCCAATAGGGTGAAACTGAGGACCCCATTGAATTTAGAAGGCTACAATTAAGTAATACAGAACATTTGTCGAAGCTACTTTGATACCACTCTCAAAATATTCTGACTAAAAGAAGGAGCATCATTAAAAGTAGTAAATCAGGGTTTTTGCACACTTCTAAAGACAAATTTTTTCAAGCATTTTACATGTATATGTAATTTTGTAAGGACTAGCAGTTATAGAAAGATTTATATCGTTTCCACGTATTTTCAGAATGTGCCTTCAATTAAGGTGTTTTTGGATTAAAAATTACGCCCAAGATCGCAGAATATTTTATCTTTAAAAGTTAGTTTATTCTGAAAGCATACCTCTTGCTAACGTATCAAATTATTCGTAATTGTTTGTAGAATACAATACATACTTAAAAAGTTCTTAAAATTAAATGCTTCAAAACCTATACGCGAAAAACCGAAAATTTTGAAAATTGTGAAATCTTACTTGCCATTTCGTCATTTTTTAAGGCACACTTTTCTTACCTACTACATATGAAGTGTACACATAAGTGCTAAATGCCCATTTAATTTCAAATCAGAATATGGTGTGCTTAGGGTTCAATCGATACAAGTAAGTAATTTTCATTTGATACCAAGTATTTTTTTCCTGGATACCTTTTTGTTCGGTATCGGTTCGGTATGACGCCCGTTGTTAGAGTTTTCGTGAAAAGTGCGGTCATGTAGTAGAGAAAGTAGAAATCGCTTGTCTGGAAAGCATTTAGAAAAGTTGTTGTTTCTTGGCAGTGTGCCCCAAAAGCTATTTTTTTCATAAATATTTTGTGAATAATATACTTTTATGAAGTCATATATGTATTTGTAACTAATATTGTTCCTCAGCAATGTACCAAAAGAAACAATACAATTTTTTTCTTCATAAATAGTTTGTAAATGATGCAGTGCGCTGTATACTTATAGGGGTGACATTATGGATAAGTGTCGGATTTTTATTTTTACTTTCAAATTAATTTAAGTTACATTTTTATAAAAAATATAGTTCATTCTATGACAAAAACCATGTAAATCCAAGTTTCAAATTTTGTACAAAAATTAAAAGAAAATCAAAGTTTCACCAAAACTCAACAAATTTTTTTTCAGAATAAAAAGTGATGAATTTTGATGAAAACGTACTAGCGCAAAAGAGAAGGCACAAGTTGTCCCTTCTTATTATTTACACTCTTTGATGAAACTTTGTTGATTTACTTTTAGTTTTTGTACAAAGTTTTAAACTTGGATTAACAAGGTTTTTGTTATGGAATGAACTATATTATTTATAAAAAAAAGTGAATAAAACTAATTTGAAAATAAAAACAAAAATAAAAATCTGAAACTTATCCATATTGGGTGACCTATACACTCATATGACTGAAAAAATTATTATTATAATGTACCACAAATATTAATTAATAATTATTTTGTATTCTTACTAAATAACTTAAATATATACGTTTTCTATACCTGCAACTTTATTGGCTTTTTATTTGATTTTGACATACAATGTTTTAAACCATGATAAGACGTAATCATACGACCTTTTACAACAAAAAAGGGTAGTATCTCTCGAAAGAGAAGATGAAAACAATTCAAGTAAGTACTCGATATTTGCCGATACTGAGTAGGTATCGATACTTTCAGTCTTTTGAGTACAAGTACTCATTAGAGTGATACCTTAGTGGTATCAATTAAACCCTAGGTGTGCTTCAAAAGTTATGACATAATTAATTGTGCCCCTCTTAAAAATTACATAATAAATTCACTTGTTTTCATTATTATTTTTTAATTTAAGCACCTATAATTCAAAAGTTATGCAGAAAATTGATCCCATTTTTTTTGAGGCTTCAAGTATACGTCAATGAATTATATCCAAAAGCAACCAGCTGAATTTGGTTTACAACAGTGAAAATAAAGCTAAATAACACAATGGTTACCTGTTTTTTAGATTCGCCAATTTAAGCAAATTGGTATAGATTTACAAAACATTGTCACAATTTGAGTCCAATCACCCTAGTACTAACATAAAACTATTTAAGTATTTAAGCAAATTGGTATAGTTTTACAAAAAATTGTCACAATTTGAGTCCAATATAAAAAATAATAATTCAAATTGTGAATAAAAGTTGCTTTGTTCACATCAAAAGTACTGAATTGTTCAGAGTTCATAAATATCAAGCAAATAAATCACAACAACAGAGCGATTTGCTAAGAAGTGAGACTCCCCTTAGCATTTTAAGCCCAAATTTAAATATTATGTAAAACGCAAAATCTGTATTACCAGTTGATGTTTTACTTTTAGCATAATCCTTGTCGCGTTTTGCTGTCATATTGTCATGTTTGCCGAAAATCCTCACGAATCCGGAACTAAACAAAGAAACGAATTACTGCAGCTGGGTATATGGTGCACATGATCGAAATCCACTTAGTTCACAAGTAAAATAGCTTATAAATCGCGATACACCTTGATTTAGCGACTTAAGCTTGTACGGAAGTTGATAGGTCACCACAACATTTTATGTGCGAGTACGTATTGCGGACGAACAACCGTCGCAAGCTAAGCACAATGAAATTGAAAGCGCCGCTGACGAGCGTGTGTTTTAAACAAACTTGTAGGCTACAATTAAACACTACTTGCACATCCACCCACACCGTGCCCCTATTTTGAGGCCAGAATAAACGACAATTACGTCTGCAGACACCACAACTGCGACGGTGACAACGACAACAACGTGCTAGTGTTAAATTTCTTCAGAACACAGATGATATAAACTTTTTCGCCAAACCACTACGATAAATAAGCCAAGTTGAACGAAACGGAAAACGTATTGAAGCGTCCACACACCAAGACGTCGCGCGACGAACTAACAGATTTTAAATCAAAACTGAATCATTATCCTTGGTGCTTTTCTAAATATCCTGGCCGCTTCGACGACTACGCAGACGACGCGCTTCGCACACACGTACATACAAGTATACATATGTGTGTGTTGAAGCGAATCACAACAGTGGCATGCTATACCTACGGTGACCATATTTATGGCAGTCGAATACGGGACAAGAAATAAGTTTGCCAATTTTTCCATAAAGGCTAGACGATTTTAAAACCTTTTCAATGATCATAGATTTATTAGCCCTGAAACAGTATCTTTATTTTGCATACATTCTTCGATCTTTTGTGGAAGCAGAACATAAATATTCAGTTTTAGCATCACACATTTGTAGAATATTTTCCATAACTTTGTGCTCGGGACTTTTACCCCGCAAAATCTGTTACAAAAATTCCAAGGCAGGGATATTTTCCTTAATCCGATTACTTTTGAAGCACGAGTGGTATTCAACGGATTATTTTCTGACTCGGATTTCAGCCAAGCACAATGCAGTGAATAGTATCCGGAACGAGCTGAATTGCAAAGCGTACCTTCGAAAGGTTCCACTTCCCCTCCATCCTTGAGAACTTCATCATTTTTACAACATTCTCAAGGAGTTTCTCATGTTGAAAAACACCTCATACAATCAGCAATAATTTTTTTGGCGTAGTTTCGCCCAATGAATATCTGCTCTCTTCACAAAATTTAAAATTACAATCACACCACGGCAAACAGCAAGCTATGTGTATTTGAAATCAGAGTTGGGCAAAATTTATTCGAATGACGAATAACAAATAAATAAATTGTTTTTCTTGTTATTCGTAAATAATAAATAATTTTGTTTATTCAAAAAAAAAATTATTCGAATGACGGATAAATTATTTTATTCGTTATTCGAATAATTATTATCTTCATTAATTATTCGAATAACGAATAAAATAATAATAAAACAAGTAATTTATGTATATAGATATGTACATATATTTATGTATAAAATGATAACCGTTTTCGTTGTTGCGATTTAACTCAAACCCCTGGATAGATTTAAGTCAAATTTTCGGAGGTTATTCCCTGCGCATAAAGTCCTATTAAAGGCTACTAGAAAACTCCTTGGTGGCGATGGAGCCGAGTTATTTATAAAAGCCGTATTTATGAACCGATTTCGTTCAAATTCCAAATGTGTTCTTCCTGCATGATGAAAAATACTTATGCGAAAAATGGAACCGCTAGGTGGCGCTGCAGTTGAGTTATTTAGAAAATCCCTATTTATTGTACAATCAGGTTGCAATTCATAATGGTGCTGCAGTCGAAATCATTAGAAACCCCATATGTTTGGAATACTTTGTTTTTTATGTTTATATTATATGAATTTACGATGTCTCACGTCGTCATACACCCTAAATGCGACTTTGCATCTACCTCCGCCTGATGAAATCGCTCGGGCGGCCATTGCTGCAGCAGTAAGACTCAAGGAAACCACCTCTTGGATATTTTAAAAGTGGCGAATCAGCAAGGAAAGTTTCGACCACATCCTTCCAAAAAAGACCACTGTTGGTATATCAATGGCCAAATTTTACATCGAGGGTTTTTGGCTCTCCTATAATAGAAAACGCACATCTGTGCTCTTCAGCTTCCTTATAAGGACTTTTGTTGGCCTACATGACATACGACTAGAGGTTGACGCATCGGACCAATGTTGTAGTTGCAAGACCATAGAAGAAGATTACGCACGCTTAGAAAAGATCTCACAAATGGAAATAAGACCATCGGTAAAGCTCATGACATTGAAAGGTATTTTTTCTCCCATATAGCATCAGAGCGCTATTTTTTTGGCAGAAATATGTGTGAGAAGGGTTCTGCTCTTTAGTTGTTCAACCTAAATTGAGAATTTTTACTTTACCCATATTTGGTTTTCAACGCTATTCTTGCATGGGCCAATGCAAAAAATCTTATCAGGGGCCGCGTAACCAGAGGGAATGAGCTAGTATTCTTGGCAAAATAGTAAACAGAATTCAGCTAACTCGCAATCCTTGACAATAGAAATAAAAGAAAAAGTGGCTCAATGTGTTAAAAATGAGTTTTTATTCATTATTTAAAATAACGAATAAAACAACGAATCAATTACTCGAAAGCAATTTATTCACGAATAATTTATTCGTAAATGAGTTATCTGCGAATAATTATATTACGGATAAAAGTTTATTCGAATAATTATCTAAATAACAATTTATTCGAATAATGCCCAACTCTGTTTGAAATGTGTTTGAAATTTTAGAGTAAAATGTAAAGAAAAATGACAATTTAAAGACGAGATTCTCGACAAAAGTAAGATCAGCTGCTCTACTCCTGCTACCTGCTCAATATGCTTGAAATGCAATGAGAAAACCTTTGAAAAGCTAATACTAGAGCAATTTATTTTAGAAACTTGAAAAAAAAATCATTAACATCTAATTTCGATTCATATCTGCTCACAAATTTTCTACCCAAAATTATAAATTCAGAAACCATTTACATATGTTCTCCACGATTCGAATCACAAGCGTTCAGATTTAAAAATAAAAACTACGAGTTCACGGGAATGCCATTTTTATAAACTGCTGGGGCGCCAAAATACCGAAGACTGGGCATTAAAAGAAATACAGAACTTTTGGCGTCCCGTATGAAATAAATAAATTACCAGGACAAATGACAAAAAAAGAGGACTGTCCGTATAATACAGGACGGATGGTCACCGTAGCTATGCCGCATACCGAGTCGACTCGAGTTCAGTTCAGTTGAGTTGAGTTGAGCTGAGCTCAGCGCAGCGGATTGGAGTCAGCTAGCCAGCCAGCAAAACAACAGAGACGAGAATAGCAACAACTAACACAAGAATGATGCGAGCAGTGCCAGTAGCAGTAGTTAGTAGCTGTAGCAACATGCGCCAACGCCAAGTAATGGCAACATTCGCTAGTTTGTTGGTTGGTTGACTGGTTGTGGCAAGTTGTGTGCACGCGACTGTGCCGTTGGGCGTTTCGGCGGCAACCGTTGGGACTTTCAAGTCAGTGTAAAACCACGACGACGTAGCAACTACAGCAACGACATACGACTTGACACCGACAGCAAAGGTGCAGGGGACACTCTGAGGCGCTAGTGACGGCAAATAGGATGATGATGACGAATATAGCGAACATTGTCTGCTTTGCAAGTTACAGAAGGACTGCAAAGATTAGCTACTACGTAGTTTGAACAATGTCTCGAATGTCTTTATAAGTAAAGCTGTTCCGCAAATGTGTTCGAGAAATTAATTCAATGGGTTTAGAGCCAAAAAAAAGTGGTAATGAGACGAAAAACTATCTTCTTTGAAACAGGTGCATGAAGTAGCCAACGTTTTGTATTGTGCATACATATGTATATATAGATATGATTTGGAAAGCCGTTAAAACAAACCCCCCCTGACAGAATCCCATCAATTCGTACATTGTTTGCTAAACTAACCCAACGCCTCCACAAACACATCACTTGGCGAATATCAGCAGTGACTTTGAACGCAAAAAATTCAATGCACGTCGACTGTTGAGCTGTCGTGCAACTCGACAAGCTGCAACGCCCACACCTACTTTCATGTGTGCATTCAACGTACTTGGTCACATATATGTACATACATACATCCATCCATTCGAATTTATCACATCACGGAGAGAAGTTTAGAAAAAAAATAACAACGTCAACATTACGACCCTGCAATCCGTACTTACCCACATAAATATGCATATGTATTGCCACTGTGCTGCAAAGTTTCGTCTTCGCCTATGTTTTCCTCCCTTTTCACCGTCTTCAATTCTTCCATTACCAAAATTGCCGTTTACGTTATTTGCCGCCGATGCTTGTTGAGCTCTTGGTGTTAGGGTGGAATTCCCTTGGCGTGTGTACTCAAATGTAATTCTCTGCTTTCCCTTCAACGCCTGACATTCTTTCTGCCAGTATCGTCGCGCCTACCAGCCATCCATCCGTAAAACGCCTTTATACATATTTATATATATACGTATGTATGTATGTATGCACAGTTGGGCTTGTAATTCCAAGCCGACCCAAACCAAAAAACAAATCAACGGGCCAACCTGACCAAACCAAACTGGCGGGTATCTAAATGGAGCCGACAAAACCCATTCAATTGAGCGGCTCACTGTCGCACTGTCCAACCATTCAACCAACCAACCTAACCCATTGCAACGGTATCCCCCCAACCATACAGACTTGTTAAATTTCCCTTACTTGCGGAACCCTCCGTTTGATGCATGACGTGCGCGCCAATATATCCCAAAGACCAGGCTAGCTGCCATCATCACTGCTGTTGAGGTGACGGTTGGCCAAAAGCCGGGCATGCCAAGAAAAGACGGGTCGGTGAAAATTGTGAGTAACTGGCGCACACTGCCAGTGGCTACGACCTATACCGCAAACACACACTTGCACATAGTTATTGGTACAGAGATACAACAGAGGCTAGCCGACATGCCGTCCGCATTGAACACATGCACACATTATGGTGTGCATGGAAAATATTCATGTACATACACTCGCACACAAACTCGTGCATACGGAACACACAAAGCTCATCCGTATGTATGCCCGCAGAGTCGAGTACACAGACGGTGTCGCACGAGCCAAGTACCTCAACAATCCGCCTTCAAATTCTCCGACCACTCCGCACCGTCATCGCTACCCACGCTTAACCAAGTGGCAAACACAACTAAGCAGGGAGACGGCACGGGTATAGACACATTGCATGCAGTCTAACAGCAAAAACGGCAAACGGATGCGCAAGCTGACTGCTTGCCTGCCAAGTGCTGCTTAGTCGAGCATACAGTACACATAAACACAAGCACAAAAACTTTCCTAACAATATACAACCGAACGCATGTAAGTGCATTGGCGTGTGCACACACAAATTGTACATTTCTTGCCACAATCATAGCGTATAATTTAGAACCCGCGCGCACTTTGGCCT